TTTTCTGGCTACGGCCCTGCCTATCAGCAACATGTATTTTTCACTTTCCAACTCCTAGTGAAGCTTGTTTTGCCAAATAATTATCATCTCTCGCCTCGAGAAAGTTACAGCCCAGTCTCGTTCATTTTTAGATAGCTGCAAGTTGTGTTTTACTCTCTTGACCTTGTTTCTAAATAAAGCTGCATAGAATCGAAGCTTTAGCCTTCGAGAAAGCCATCGTGCTTACATACAGTTTTGCAGCTGCACATACCTTGTTTATAAGCAAACATAATTCTATAGTATAAAAGTTATGCCTTTTGCTTTGCCAGGGCTTTTGAATTCATATCTTTGGTTACATAAAGACTCCATTTAGTTGAAAATGAATACATTCCAACCATTTGGAATCATACATATCTAGCATGCATGCTTTCCCAAGAAATGCATGCATTTCAGAATGGTAATTTGATGTAAACAGTGATGCTGTACAATCCTTTCCAAATTTACTGTTCATGCAGGAATGGAGTCTAGCCCACATTGATTTTAATCATATTTCCACTTTCACTGTCATCAACAAATTAAATAGCTTTCTTGGTCTACAGCTGCAACATGAAGAAATATTGTAATAATTTACTTTTCTTATCTGCACCACTATCATTCAGTGCGGCTGAAATATTTACCCCATTTTCTCCAACTTTCTTGGGGTCTTTAGCTCACCCTTTCCCTCTTTCCTTTGTACTGTTTTAGTTTTTTGCAAATGTTTCATGACAACATGCAATATTTCCTGTTACAAAATTTATGTAATGATGTCCCAGGAGACCAAAGTGTGGAAGAAACAAATCTCACTTAATAGTGTATAGCAAAATAGGTTACATCCATAACGTGGACTAGTTACTTGGTTACTGTCAGAATTTGGGTTTCTGCATGTTGTAATCCAAAAAGAAAAATTTCCAAGCGTTGAAACAGTTCTGTGCTGGTATTCCCCCAAACTAATCATCTCCAGAGCTTCACTCGTGGAACTCACATTTTCCGATTTGAAAGTCAGTTGAGAGGAAGAGTCCTTCTGACGAAGACCATGAATCTGTAGAATTTGGCATCATGTTCCCCACAGCAGGCACCCCAACCGGAGCCCCTGGTGGTGCAAGTTAAACCCTTGTGCCAGCAGGACTGAAGACCGACAGGTCGCAGGTTTGAATCCGGGGAGACCTCGGATGAGCTCCCCCTGTCAGCTCCAACTCCCCATGCGTAGACTTGAGAGAAGCCTCCCACAAGGATGGTAAAACATCAAAACATCCAGGCATCCCCGGGCAACGTCCTTGCAGATGGCCAATTCTCTCACACCAGAAGCGACTTGCAGTTTCTCAGGTTGCTCCTGACACAAAAAAAAGGAGGCACCAGTTGCACATGGGAAGCCCACAGGTGAATTAACCTTGAGGGCAAGGTGGATTCCTAGCAGCTGGAACTGAGAAGGGTACTCCCTCTGATCTTGGAGGTTATATAGTATAGAGGTAACATGACTAACCGCCATGGACAGATTTTATTCCTCATTCATTTCTGTAATCCCCTTTTAAAGACATCTAAATTGATGGTCAGCACTACATCTTGAGAAAGTTCATTCTTTTGATTAACTGTGGCATGTGGGAAAGTGCTTTCTTTTGTCTGTCCTGAATTTTAGACTATTAATTTTACTGAAGTTGTTCGCTTATGAGACAGACAAAGGAAATTTTTGTCCATTTTCTCCATAATGCACATCATTCTGCAAACCTTTTAGCATATGCTCCCTTTTGTTCTTGTTTTTGTTATGTACCCTCAGGTCACTCCTGACCTATAGCAACACGTTCAGATGTGGTTTGCTTTCCTCTGAGGCTTGGTGTAACTTACCCAAGATTG